CTCTCTCTCTCTCTCTCTCTCTCTCTCACACACACACTCGCACGCGGACACACACGCGCACACACACTCTCACACACACACACACACAGACATCAGTGAGTGTTTTATTAAAGCCTGATCGTAAAGCGCATCTCTCTCTGTGTCTCTGTATTTATACGTGACCGTCATCTATAACATCTCGGTCAGTCTCTCTCTCTACGCTCTCTTCCTCTTCTACTTGGCCACTCGTGATCTGCTGGAGCCGTACGGCCCCATGCTGAAGTTCCTCTTGGTCAAATCCGTCATCTTCCTCTCCTTCTGGCAGGGTGAGTCTTCATCACGTCAGCCTTCATCTCATAATCTGCTTGATCTAGCGATTTGACATTTGATTTTAAGCGATTTCCCCAAATAACACAACACCTCAAAGAGGTTTTTTGGACCTTTCATGTAAATCATCCCTGCTGGAGAAAAGTTTGAAGGTTTGCATTTGCAGTTTTGTCTGGAACTTGAGGATTTGCTCAATAAATCAGGATGATTTCTCAAAAGTGATGACTTTTGAATGTAATTTACCCTTTATCTTTTCTCAAAGCAGATTGGAAAAAGTATCAACATGTGACAGTCATTTTCGGGCCACTGAATGCAAAATAAAGCATGTTCATTAAACAGAAATAGCCTTTAAAATAATTCAAAATAATTTACAAACTTGTAACTTAAAAAGTCCTAAAATATTAAAATGTTAATAAATAATTGTAATAAATATTAAAATGATCAAATAAGATGTTAAATATAAATATCTTAAAATATTTAAAAATCTTAAAATGATAAAAATATAAGATGTTGGTCTAAATATTATTATAAAAAAATTGATATAATTCTTAAATATAAATCTAAGTATCTTAATTTTAAATGTTCAAAAAGCAAGTATGATGATGAATGTTGTGTGGAAAATTACAGTAGTTTTGTAATTCAATTTTTGTAAATTTGACATTCAGTATTAAAGTACACAATTTCTAAAACATTAATGTTAATGAACATGTTAATGCAACAATTGTATTTTTTAATGATGAAATAAAAGCAGTGTCTCTTTTTTATGTAGAGATGATGTTTTATAAGTACTGTTAATAAATTTTATTCTTACATATAAATCTAAATATCTCAAATGAAAGCAAAATATAGATCTAAATGTTATGTGAAAAATTATGTTTTGTATCATTATTATACAAATATACACTTTAAAATAAGACTTGAAATGACGTGTTAAAGAGCATGTTAAATACTATTGTTTTTTTAGGTGATGGCAGAGAAATGTATTTCCTTTTGTGTTGTAGGGATGCTGTTTCACTAAATATTATTGTTAAATAATGAATATAATCCTTAAATATAAATCTAAAACTACAGTTGTTCTGCAACATGTAACAAAACATCTTGATTTACTCACTGGTCTTGTTAAAGTGTGTTCGTTTCTATCTGTGTTAGATGGATTAGACAGTAGAAATGCTTTGGCGAAAGTACAACTCTATCATCTTGTGTGCTGTAGGGATGCTGCTGGCCATTCTGGAGAAATGCGGCGCGATTCCTCGCATCAACTCTCCTGATGTCAGCGTGGGGGAGGGGACGGTTGCCGCCGGTTACCAGAACTTCATCATCTGCATCGAGATGTTCTTCGCCGCTCTGGCGCTCAGACACGCGTTCACATACAAGGTCTACATGGACAAGAGACTCGACATCCAGGGTGCCTGCTTTTGTAGTGATATATTTGATACTGTTTATATGATTCGCAAACTCAATTTGATTTGTTTCAGTTCGATTCAGTTTTCCCTGCCGTGGCATGCACTGAGAGTCTGTGAGAGACGTATTTCAGCTTTGTAAATGTGTGAAATCTTCAATGTTTCTGACTGATCTTTCTATTTTTCTTACTCTCTATCGTGTCTGTCATCCCTCATTCCTGGGTTTGTTTCTATTTCAATATATTAATTTCTCTGTGGATATGCTGTGGTTTTGTCTGGTTCGTTCGTGTTTCTCTGTGTTTTGTGTCGATTCCTCGCATCAACTCTCCTGATGTCAGCGTGGGGGAGGGGACGGTTGCCGCCGGTTACCAGAACTTCATCATCTGCATCGAGATGTTCTTCGCCGCTCTGGCGCTCAGACACGCGTTCACATACAAGGTCTACATGGACAAGAGACTCGACATCCAGGGTGCCTGCTTTTGTAGTGATATATTTGATACGGTTTATATGATTCGCAAACTCAATTTGATTTGTTTCAGTTCGATTCAGTTTTCCCTGCCGTGGCATGCACTGAGAGTCTGTGAGAGACGTATTTCAGCTTTGTAAATGTGTGAAATCTTCAATGTTTCTGACTGATCTTTCTATTTTTCTTCCTCTATCGTGTCTGTCATCCCTCATTCCTGGGTTTGTTTCTATTTCAATATATTCATTTCTCTGTGGATATGCTGTGGTTTTGTCTGTTTCGTTCGTGTTTCTCTGTGTTTTGTGTCCATCTCTGTCTCTCTCAGGCTGTGTTCCTGTCTATGGCCAGTACGGTAGGTTTACTCTGGATTTTTATTTTCTATATGTTTTCGCTATCTTTGTTTAATACATAATTTACTTTTAATACACATCCTGTGTGTCTGTACTGAGAACCTTTCATTTGATTTAAGTCAGTTTCTTTCATCATGTTTAGTTTAGGTTTTTTTTGTATCAAAATACTACTTATTTATATATTTTTTTTAGTTCCCAAACTAAAAATGTGCTACTAGCTGAACAAAAATATTTTTATTTATATTACTTTTAATATTAAAATGTTAAAATATTTTACCTTTTATTTTAGATTACATTTATTTTAAGTAACAAGTATATTTTAATGACTTTATTCTTAGTTTTAGATATAAAAATCCTGACTGTGTTTGCTGTTTTTCCAATTAAATGCTCTCTAGTTTGAGACCAAACTCTAACCCTGTTTATTAAAAATGAGACGTGATACAACATAAGTTTACAGTCAGCCTTTAAAGAATAATTTATTTTTCTATAGCATCTTTCTTCATATGTACAATGTTGCCTCATATTGCATGTGAGTCCAGATGCTATTTTGGAAATACAATATATATATATTTTAAGATTTGTGTAAAAATCTATAGTAACATGCTTCAATCATGGTTTTGTCAGGCTGTGGCATTAACTAAAGGCTATAACTGACACCAACTTCATATTTAAATAGGAAGAATGTCTACACAGGAAAGAAAGGTTCTTTTGTCAAGCAGTTGTATGCTCAATAAAACGTTCTGTCTGTCTGTGTTTCAGGTCGTTGTGCTCCCATGAGCATCTCCAGCAGTCTGAAGGAGACGATGAATCCGGGCGACATGCTGCAGGACGCCATCCATAACTTCTCTCCGGCGTATCAGCAGTACACACAGCAGAGCCGCTGCGAACCGCTGAGCCGCTCCAACAGCTGCAGCAACGAGAAAACCCTGCTGCTCAGCTCTGACGACGAGTTCTGACGCGCTCTCAAACCCTAGTGAGATCACGATCATGGTGCCTGCATAGACAGCATGTTTGGGCATCATCAGTGCTTCCAGACAGAAGGCAGCAAAACTACTGTATGCTGCCTTGAGGGACGATGCTGTGGCCAAAATATTGATAGAAAATACTTTAATCCAGTGGATCTGAAACCATACCAAACAATACCAGCTTTGATCAAATCAGAGCACACAATCGCTGTATTAATGTTACTGAACGTTCTGGTTATGAACGGAAATGTTCTTCCAGTAATGTTACTAGAATGTTCGTTCAAACTTCTGCTCTCAAAATGTTGATGGAATGTTTTTTTCCTGCAATGTTTTGGAAGTTTGTGTAACGTTTTTTTTAATGTTTCGGAATGTTCAGAGAACCTGCAAAAGTAATGTTCCCAGAATGTTTGCACAATAAAATGGAATGTTCCCTTAATTGCACAACAGAGAAAAATGTTTTTAAAACATTTCAAAAACTAGACGTTCAGAGAAAATCCAGAAATAATGTTTACTTAACTTAATAAGAACATTAGCAAAAAGCTGGGAAGCACACTTCATAAAATTTATATCATATTCTAATCAATATCAAAAATACTTCAGATAAATCATGATGCTATCAGGCCCCCAACATAATTTGTATTCCAAAACACATTATTTTGCAAACCATTTTTTCAAAGTTCAAACCAATAATAAGTAAATAAATATATATTTTTCTACATTGTATCCCCTCTGTTTGGAAACGCTGGAACTGCTCTGTCTGGATTCATTATCGATATGATGCTCAACTGAGCACCGAACCAGCGTTTGAGTCAAAAACAAACCTCTCTTTAAAACTGACTAAACTTTAAAGGCAAACAGAATAATGTTTGCTGCTTTTCTGCACATTTAGAATGTAATGAAAGAATAAGCATTTGAGTAAAATGATCTTCAGAATTAAATATATGTGAATTTAAAAGTGCACAGTTTGAGAATCACTGGTTTAATTCAAACTGGATCACTGCATGTGTGTCACGTGAAGCTGCTGCCTGTGTAGGGCGTCTCAGATCACTCACTAATGAGGGTTTATTAGCTGCAGCAGACAGGAGGAGGATTATGAATCATAATGTCGTGCCATATAAACACACACTCTCCTCTCGGCACTTTCTACATGTGTATTTCAGGGTAACGTGAAGATTTATTTACATGAAGTGTCTAGATTATAAACTGCTGCATAATAAACTACAGGAGCAACTAGTTAATGACTGAATGCCTTAAACATCTGTTACTCTCATGTGGTTCACTGGATTTAAAACTAGTAAATATCTGCAGATTTGAATAAAGAAAATTAGTTTGTCATTTTTTTATTTTCTTTCTTAAGTTCTCCAGCCGTGTAAAATAGCCTAACTGTAGAAGCACAGTTTTCTGGTAGAAGTTTTCTGGTTTATTACTTTGTCGAATGTGAGCTCTTCTGAGCTGCTGAATCTGTTGTTGTGTTTTAAAGCTTCCACAGGAGGACGCCGCTTTGTTCTAGTTTTATTTTCATGTCAGTCACTTTCGATTTAGTAGGTATAGGAAGCGTGATAAAATGGCGTACAGTAGGCCTACAGGTAAGATCTAAATAACAACAATAATAATGATAAATAAGTATGTTTAAGTCAATGATCCACCAGATTCTGATCGATCCTTTATTTGATTGTCTTGCCTCATCATCAAACTCTTTCAGTTGTTAAATTTAGCATTTTGAAAGAAGCAAGCATTAAGTAAATAATGTATAAATATACGCATTTATTAGGTACTAAAACTCACGACACTATACAGCATATGAATCGAAATTTGAATACTTTTTCTGTGATTTAAGTGTAGATATTTATACAGCGCTGATGTGTTTGTGTGCGTTGCGGTTTTGAACTACACAAGTGCTACACTGTTAGAGAAGAAAATGTCGTTTCAATGTTATGTGTCGAACTTTTTTTTTTTTTGCCTTTTTGTCTTCTCTTTTAAATGTCAGATATGTATTCGGAATCGTTTCAGCCACACAGCACGCATGGCTAGATTAACTATTTGTTTTTGTGTTTGCATCAGGCAGAAGAAGTCCAGATTTCGAACGCCCCAACAGTAAGTCAATGAAATGATTTGACCGTAATAACAGAGTGTGCATTGTTTTATAGTTCTGATGAATATGTAGTGACTGTAACTTTGCATTTTTCAGTGTTTTATATATCTGAATGCATTTAATACAAAAAAAGATGATCAGCTATTAATATTCAGTGTAGTAAATGTTAAACAAGAAATGTGTTTGAGAATTCTGCTCTTATAAATCTATAAAAGTTCTTTGTCACTGAAGCATCAGGCAAAATGGCAGTGAAACGATGTTCAGTGTTTCATTTGTCTCTCTTGTAGTATGAATGTCTTGTATGTTCCAGTATGATGTGAGGATTGTGAATATTAAATGTCTGATTTCACTCTTTGCAGTGAGGATAGTTCTTCTGGGGAAGAGCGTGTCAGAAAACAGTCTGGTGGGAAACTTCATCTCAGGACGAGCAGCGTTTGACAGTGAAGCTCCTCCAGATGTTGTAGAGAGAGTCGGAGGAAGACTGAAGGACAGACACGTGATGCTCATCAACAGTCCTCAGCTGCTCCAGACGAACATCTCAGATCATCAGCTCACACAGACAGTGAGAGAGTGTGTGTTTCTGTCTGATCCAGGACCTCATGTCTTCATAATCACACTGCAGTATAAAGACTTCACCGAGGAGGACCTGAGAAGAGTGAAATATATGCTGGAGAGATTCAGTGAAGAGGCCATTAAACGCTCTATAGTGATCACGACTGATGAAGAGACGAAAGCTAATGAATTCATTCAACGATTAACTGCTGAATGTGGAGGAGGACATCTGCAGCTTGATCATGAAATAAAGAGACAGTTCTCTGGAATATCGCAGCAATTAGAGACGATACTCAGAGAAAGCAATGAAGAATTTCTCACATGTGACATATTTGATGATGCTGAAGAAACATTGGTGGATGAAGATCAGAGCAGATCGGAGATGCAAGAGGATGATTCTGATAAGATGGGAAAAATTCTTTGCCACTCACGATTGAAAAGTTGTAAGTTTTCATAAATATTTGTGAACAGTTCTGATGCCAGATTAATAAACACCAGGGGCCAATTGGACCAGCTTGACATAAAAAAGTTGGGTGTAAGCTCTACACTGGCCTTAGTTATCTCCAGTCTTTTGATAAATATTTACACCTGTTGCACCAACAAAAACTATGACCAGGCGAAACTAGAGTGTGTGCAGAATTATTAGGAAAGCCAATACTGATGATATGTCTTTTACACGCACATTTTTACCAATTTAAACCACATTAATCTTAAAGTGTCATGAAACCCTAAAACAATTTTTTTGATATGTTAACAGATATGTACAGCTTGCACATCAATGACAACAACAGTGACATTCATCGTGTTTCTTATTACATTTACATTTACTAATTTAGCAGATGCTATTTATCCAAAGTGACTTACAATTGAGGAAAACAACAAGCGATTTATAAAGAGGCACATAAACACAGGAAGTGCACATAATACAAGGTTTTAGGCATTGTTTAGATTAATACTCACTTGTAGATCTCAGAATGTAGATCCGTAGTAGTCAGTGGAAGTAGGAGGGTGCTGAGCATGTGGCTGTTCTATACACAAGCATCAATGTCTTGAACTTGTGCAGTGAGATAAAGAGAGGTGTAACATGGGCTCGTTAAAGACCAGTCATGCCGCTGCATTCTGAATTATTTGTAGAGGTTTGATAGTGCTTGATGAAAGTCCAGCCAAAAGAGCATTGCAGTAGTCCAGCCTAGAAATGACAAGGGTCTGGACAAGAAGTTGTGCAGCATGCTCCGTTAGAAAGGGCCTGATCTTTCTGATGTTGTGCAATGCAAACCTGCAAGATCGGGCAGTCTTTGCAATTGGTCTTTGAAGATCAGCTGGTCATCGAAGATTACACCAAGATTTCTGACCGAAGTCGATGGGGGGTAATTGTAGAAGAACCTAGCTGGATGGAGAAATCATACTGTAGAGTTGGAGTGGCAGGGAAGACAAGAAGCTCAGTCTTTGCCAGGTTGAGCTGTAGGTGAGGTTCTTTCATCTAGTCTGTGCAGCTACCGTTGAATCATCTGGTTGAAATGAAATATAGAGCTGTGTGTCATCATCAGCATAGCAATGGTAGGAGAAGCCATGTGCCTGTATGATGGGACCCAGTGATGTAGTGTATATGGAGAAGAGGAGGGGTCCAAGAACTGATCCCTGAGGAACCCCAGTGACCAGTTGATGTGCTTTGGATACCTCCCCTCCCCAAGCCACCCTGAAAGACCTACCAGTGAGATAGGATTCAAACCAGCGAAGTGGAATCCCTGTGATGCCCAGTGATGAGAGGGCAGACAGGAGGATCTGATGATTAAAAGTGTCAAAGGCAGCAGATAGATCCAGCAGGACAGGAGGATCTGATGATTGACAGTTTCAAAAGCAGCAGATAGATCCAGCAGAATAAGAACTGATGATTTGGAATCAGCTTTTGCAATCCGCAAGGCTTCCGTGACTGACAGTAGCGCAGTCTCGGTTGAATGGCCACTCCTGAAACCTGACTGGTTAGCGTCCAGTTTGTTGTTCTGCGAAAGAAACCATGATACCTGGTTGAAAACAACTAGTTAGAGAGTTTTCGCTATGAATGAAAGGAGAGAGACAGGTCTGTAGCTATCTGTAAGTGAAGTGTTTAATGTAGGTTTTTTGAGCAGTGGGGTTACCCGAGCCAGCTTGAATAAAGTGGGGAAAGTGCCTGTGAGAAGAGATAGGATGGCTGGAGAAGTTTTGATACTTCTGCCTCAGTGAGGGGACAGAAGGAGAAGACGGGAGTTTTAGCAGTGGGTGTGGTTGGTTTGAGGTCCTGTGTATGTGGAGCTGAGAACTGACTGCTGATTGTTTTAGTTTTGTCTGTGAAGAATGTGGCAAAATCCTCAGCTTTTAAACAGGTGGTGGAGAGGGAAAGAGATAATTTAATGTTTTGAAGAGATTACGTGTGTCTGGAGTGCTGTTGATCTTGTTGTGGAATTATGAAGATTTAGCAGTATGGACTTGAGCAGAGAAAGATGAAAGCAAAGACTGATACATACTCAGGTCTGACGGATCTTTTGATTTGCACCATTTTCTCTCTGCTGCCCTGAGTTTGGTCCGATGCTCACGAAGAACATCGGATAACCAGGGGTTAGAAGGGGCAGCCCATGCTGGCCTGGAGGAGAGAGGACAGATATTGTCTAGACAAGTTAAGTTAAAGTTAAAGGGGTCCTAATATGCTCTTTTACAAAGTCTTGATTTTGTTTTGGGGGTGTACTAGAACAGGCTCTCATACTAGGTTGTTCGAAAAACACATTATTTTTCACATATTTTACATT